ATGATGTGGGAGTAGACGACATGTTCAAAAATTTTGCATGGCACACTTGTCAGCGATATAGGTCTATAATTGGAGTAGTCCTGCTTGTTTCCGTTTTTAAAAATAGGTAGAACTCTCCCGAATCTCCAGTCCTCCGGGAGGGTCGCCGAGTCAAACGATTGTTGAAACAGTCTACAAAGAAGATAAGATGATATGTGCTTTCTTATTTTGAGAAGTTTAGGGCAAATATTGTCGTCGCCAGGGGCTGAGCTGCGGGAGAGTTTTTCGATTGCATTCAGGATACCATTTCGGTCAAAGACAATAGCTTCACAAGAAATGTTAAGTGGTCTACAGATCGGATCACAGAATACTGGAAAGTCTTCTACGGTGAACACGGACGAAAAATAGTTGTTCAAAACGGTAGCTGATTAAATGTTTGTTAATACTTCGTTGAGGTCGTTGCTCAGCTTAGGGAGAGAGTCATCCTTCTTTGGACATATTGTTTTCCAAAATTTCCGAGGGTTGGTTAATAATAAATTTAGCAGGTCTTGCTTGAAGTATTTGTTCTTTGCCTTTTTTATGCTATTTTTGAATTCCCTAAAAAGTCCAAGTACTTTGACATATCAGATACAAGGTTGGTTTTTTTAGCTTTGGCAAAGAGACGCTTTTTTTATTAGTTAATTTTCTGAGTGTATTCGTAAACCAGGGTTGATCAGCATTCGTTTTTAACACAATTTGAGGCACAAATCGAGACATCAACTGCTTAAATTCGTCTTTTAGTAATTTCCAGTTTGCTCCACAGATCTTCCATAAAAATGGTGTTCGTATTCGGAAGCAAACTGCTTAAAAGCGTCGTTTAGGGCACATTCGTTAACCTTGCTGTACACATTGATGAGTTTAGGACTTATCTTTCTAGTTAATAATGGCAAAGACATTTCAACTAAAACAGTGTTACGATCGCTGATCCTGTCAAGAATACGAACTGACCGCACATCATCCGCACTCGAGATGAGAACAAGGTCCAAAACAGGATGTAACCGTGTGGGTTCGTTTACAATTTGAGCGAGACCATAGCTATGCATCAGGTTAATAAAATTTAAAGCTTTTGCACCAACCGCACAAAAGGTAAGACCAATGCCCCCCTTGCAATTAACAACTGGGTAATTAAAATCCCCGCCAAAAATAATGGTACTACCGGGAAATAAAGAAAAAACGTGCTCCATAGAAACGTACAGTTTATCAACGAAAGTATTGTCACGGCCAGGAGGGCGATAACAGGCGCCAACGATAACTGGAAAGAAAGGATGATCTAAGCGTACCCACAAAACTTCAAGGTCACAATCTACAGAAATAAGTGATGCATTCATGGCTTTACTGATAGCAATAAGTACGCCGCCACCGCGGGAACGTGTGCGGTCGTTACGAAACAAATGAAATGATTGACTAAGAAGAACCTCGCCACCGCTAATCTCCGGCTTTAACCACGTTTCAGTTCCCAGCACAATCTGAGCACCTGAATCATGCACAGTTGACAAAAAAATATCTTGTTTAGGCAGAAGACTGCGAAAGTTCGCGACAAGTACACAGATATCAACAGAATCCTGCCTAGCTATTTTTCTAGACTGTCACGTCATCGCTTGACTTACAGCTTGCAATTTTTGAACTAAAATAACTTCATCATACTCGGGACAATAAACGTACTGCTTTCCACCGACATAAAGTTTGTCGTACACAAGTGTCACTTTTATGTTTTGATTTCTGAACTGCGCACTGAAATGCCACAGTTTGCTCCGGTGGTGGCAAACCCTAGGCGAAAAGTCTTCTGAGATAGAGACCTTAAGTGAAGGCGAGTGTTTGAGTTTGTTTGCGTTATTCAGTAGGTTCTGTTTTACTCTGAAGTCAATAAAACGCACCACAATCGGTCGGGCTGTCACCCCCTGCTTCCGGCCAACGCGGTGGGCACGTTCACTCTCCCGGTTCTATACCCAAGTAATCCTTGATGAAGCCTCTCAAACAATTAGCCGTATCCTCCCACGTTTCATTTGGTTCTTCTGAGATACCCCTGACTAATAAGTTATTTCGTCTCATTCTGTTATTTAAATCATCAATACTAGAGTCAAGGGTGCAGATTTTATCATGCGAGTAACGGACGTCTCTTTGGACGCCACTGATGGTATTCTCAACCACGGCGAGTCTGTCCTTAATGGCGCTAATCTCCTGCATTTGTTTCTCTAGAGTACATACCTTCAGTTTTAGTTCATTAATTTCAGAACTGATAGAGTCCAGTCTCTTTCGGGTTTCGTTTTGGTGTTTTTCAGCAGTAGATGCTGAAAAACACCAGCAGTAGCTCTTAATTTTTCTGCGAAAAAAAAAAAGAAAGGTTTCGTGGCTGTAAGTTTTCTTTCCAGGTTTAAAACTTCTTTTTATTTTTTTATCATGACCTTAGGGAATTAAACACTAATCAAGCGAAAGATTCTTCTGTGTACAAAAGTGGGTCAGGAACTTTCAGGCAGCGAGGGGGAGAACGAGGGTAAAAATATTCCACAAAGGTTTTTTTTTTTTTTTTTTAAACTAGAGAAATGAGCAAATCGCTTCGCCACTAGTTGTCCACTGTCGTAAACGGATGTCTCTCCACGGCTCCCGTCCCTCCCCCCCCCCCCCCCCCCCGCTGTCCACTTCTGCTGCACAAAGCAGGGGGGGGGGGAGAGGAGGGAGGGGAGGAGGCTGTAACGCAGTCGTTCGTTCAAGTCTTGTGGGTGTTCACACTATGAAAAAAAAAGAAAAGGATGATGAACGGAATTAGCTGGTAGCCGAAGGTGTTTTCGCCTTCGAGAAGTGAGTTTTCTTTTTGTTTTTTGTTTTTTTTTACTTGACTGTGACGGATGCTGGTTCCGCGCAGCGATAAGCTGGTGCAGGATTTTGAGACAAGCTCGTGCAGGATTTCACCAGTTCTGGTCAAAAGTAACGAGTAACGAGTAACGAAATTTGACAGCCGATACCGTAAAAAAGTAACGGAAATACTTTACGCGGTAGTCATTCAGAATACTAACGAGTACGTTACTGCGTTAGCGAAAAATGTAACGCGCTACCAGTAACGTCGTTACTAGTAACGCGTTACCTCCAACACTGGCTCTGAAGGAATTCTCGAAATGCCTATATTTGGCTGCTGTTTCAAAGAAGGCTCCTATTATTGGTGCAGTGTAATAGAATTCTTAAAAAAGTTATGATTAATTGCAATACCTTATATAGAAACATTCTCCTCCTAACATTAGCTAATAGAGAGGTATTTAACAAATATTGATTCCTTGCCAGTTCTTCTAAAGAACTTTGCTTCTCTTATTATTGTGTGATAAAATTCGTGCAACATTTATATTTCCCAGCTCTTGTAAAAATATCTGCACTTCGTATTCTGTGACAAATTAATAAAAATTGGCGTTTGTCAACTCTTTCAAAATAGCTTGCGGTTCTCATAGTGTGACAGAATTCTTGAGACATTTCAGACTATTTAACAGCTTATCTCAATGCCACGAACCATTTCTACATCTAGTTCCGCACTCGACTCTGTTTCTACCTTGAGTCGATCTTTGCAAACTCGGAAGGCGTAGAACCAGAGTGCGCACTTAGGGGAAATCCCCTACATTGAGGGATGGGCAAGCGGAACGTCCAGTCGCGCAATGTATAGCTCCCGGAGGGGCAGGGCGAGGGGTATGCGGGACAGCGGTAAAGCACCGCTGAGACCGCCGCAATATTGTCCGGCGCGCCGTCAGCGGACCCCAAGAGCGCGTGTTGCGTGTCCTATGATCCATCGATGCAGCGCTGTTCTTCCTTCTGCGAGCCACTGGAGATAGCCGCCCTGTGCCGGAGATGAATGACTGGAGTGCGGTCACCGCGAGAAGACCTCCCACCGGTGGGAGGACCTTGCGTGGGTCACAGCATGTCGATGCGCGCTACGGCTCATAAAAATGACGTCGACCTGTCGACCCCGCATTCATCACGGCCAAATTGGTGCCCGGTGCATTTTCGGTGTGCTGCAGGGGAGCCCGATTCATAAAATAGTGCTCTTTTTTTTTTTTTTGTTTGCGTGTACGTGGCACTATTTTTGTTTTATACGTCACTGGAATTATTTTGTCCGTTTTCGAATATGTCTTGGAGAGGGGCGGTACGTTGCGGTAGTTGGTGGGTGACAGGCAATATGGGGGTCTTGCCTGCCTAAGGCTGTAATACATGAGCTTTCGTCGCTGGCCTTATAGCGTATGTAGTCTTGTGATTCATCGGATTCGCGGGGATTCCCCCAGAAGCCGTGCAGATGGTGCTAGCTGACGTGGACTGCGAGACCAAGATTGCGTGAGAATGTAACGCAACGGACTCAGAGCGAAGTCGCGATCATTTCGTGCTGCCCTTGCTGACAAGTAAAATCTGAGGGTTGTCTGTTTTCACTGGTTACCGATTGAATAGGCCGAAACGGGGTTCCTTGTATCTTGGAAAGTAGCCGCATCAGGGAAGGGTCATTCGCTTCTGGAAAGGCGTCTTCGGTAAAGCTTGTGCAAATGTTTTGTTATTTTGTTCCCTTCCTTGAGAGCCTGACAAATTTTTATTTCCGTAGTTTTTTGGGTTTTTTTTTGCTTATTTTATCTAGGCCAATCGCAGATGCATTGCGGGGGGCGCAGCCGTCGTCATAACGCAAGTAGTGTGGAAAAGAATGTGTTTGAGCCATACAAATATTTCCTTACTCCGACTTTTTCGACTGCTTAGGCGCCGGCTGGTCTTCACTCCGAACAACTGTTTTCGTGTAAATTAAGTATTACAGCATGCTATGTTTTATTGGTAGCTACTTCAGATGGGCAATTGATCAGGGCGTAAAAAAGTTGAATGAGTTAAAAATCTTGATAACATTTTAGTAGTGCCGAGGTAATTTAACCAATCGAGCACTGCAGAATTGGGCCGACAACGTACCGGGATATATATTTTTTAGCAGAAAGTCTCTTACACGACCCTACCAGATAGAAAACACAAGGTGGGTCATGTTGGTGTGGCCGCAACGAAGTTAGTTTTGCGAAATTGACATGCTATAACTTGTTTTGCTCTGACGCATTGAAAAAAAATAAAAAAAGTCGCGCGATGGTACATTTTTGCTCATTCTCACACAAGATGGAGTTGGATTTCCATAATCTTAAACTGTGCCCTATGCACGTATTTCTCTCAATGCTTATCATTAAGCAAGCTCTCCTACTCGACTTTGTTTTTAAATCTACAGTGATTGCACTTAAGCGTGATTCTGAAAGACTTCCTTAATAAAACAGGATTTACGATATATGTTGAACTAATATTTTGTAATCCCGGTAGCTAGTGGTTTTTTTACGGCATCTGGATAAGTGCAATAGTTTAATACATAAGTGCAAAACACATTGAAGCTTAGAGAAGTATTAATTTCAAAGTAAGGGTAAAGCTAATTTTTTAATAAAACTTAAAATGAGTCGTTCAGAAATATGTAAAATAGAGTTAGGATTATAACACGGAAAGCTGACAACATTTAATTGTTAGTTTTTGTAACATCACACAAATTTAAGGAAACACTGAAATACTGTAAATTGAGAAGTAGCTCGTTTAATAATTATAATATTGATCTGTCATTGGTAATAAATCGACTTCGCAGAGTATTGATATTCATAACACGAATTCGGTTTGCAATGCTTTCGAATTTCTGTATCTGTTTTCTACACATCACAAATTAGGAATTGAGACGGCTATCCTGGCCGCTAAGGTTAACTCTCCGTATGAGTATTGTGCCACGCTAAGAGTGGGTATTGCAATATCCTGAAACGTGGAGCCACGGAGGTGGCATAGCCTATGCATCGAAGTTCATTGTCACTCTTGATGTGATGCATAGAAAAAATACGGCTGTTGTGTCAGCGTCCCTAACTCATGTTCACTCATATCATAGACACAAAGGACTACAAAAAAACTGTATACTAAGACACCTGCTCGGAATTGAGAAATACTAATATTCGTTGCAAAAAAAAACAATAAAACTTTCTATATCTCATCGGCTTGCGATGCTGGCAGTTTGTCGACATTCGTGTTTGAGTTCGGGCCCTTAATTGGTATTGGTTTTATGATATGGTTCACATGCAAATTCTAAGTTCGGCTTTTTTTTTGCAGGAGAATCCGCGGAAGCAGGACTCGGCATCTGTGGTTGGATCCTCACCGCTCTGTCGTTCGTCATTGTCGTGGTCACCTTTCCGTTCTCCTTGCTTTTTTGCATTAAGGTGAGTCACTGCGCCCCAATGTGTTATCTGTGAGACCGGCATTTCATACTTTCCGATCTGAGTGTCTCTCGATTAAGGGGCTCTTACTCAGTGCATTCGCAACAACTCAGATGTGTTAGCTACCAGAGGCAAGCGCGACTTTCAAAGACATTTAAATATGCTTAAAGAACAGAAGACGTCATAAGTCAATTTCACTTAGATTTCGTAGTTATGTTCGTTTACTATGAAGATCATCACAAAGAAATCTAGTTTCCATAATCTACATGTTCATTACAAAACGCGAATAATTTTAAGGTTATTTGTCTATTAGTGTTATGGTATTATTAGGCCAGTGAAGTTTACTTTGGTCTTTAGCTTCAAAACGAATGAAGTCACATTCGCTGTCAAAGATTTACGTTGCAGCCCCAAAATTGCACCTGACACGTACCAGCAAAAACCCGCGGTATAAGTTAAACACCATGAGGGAAATCAATGGCAACCAAAATTCTAGTCAGAAGCAGTGCGGCGAATTAACTTATTCTACGCTGGATCTTAAAAAAAAGTACACTTCGGTCAGATATAACATTTCAGCGTGAGAATTTGAATGTGGGTTCCTTCTTTTTTACCAGCCGTGAGTGAGTTTCTCATGAAGGAACAAGGATTTGCCTTGGACTTTTTACATTGTGAACTTGCCAACTAGTAGCTTTTTTCGAAATCAATGACGATATGTACCTAGAATAAAAGTGGGAAAATACAAAGGTAATTTAAAACGTCTTTTGAATCATGATTACTTATCTTGATTTTAACCACACCGATTGCTTATGATGACTTAACTGGGTCTTTTCCTTAGAATATGATCAAATAGGATTTCTTTTCCAGTTTAAGCCACTACATTTTTATTCATTTAATTTGTTTGTCTCGTCACACCGTCATAAATTAAGACAAATATTAATGTGTCGGTAAAGAAAACGCGAAAATCCTGTGAGCCAGAGGAATATTGAATCGCTGAATTGTTCTTACACTTCATCAGCGACCAGGTCTCACATTGCAAGCCAGGCAGAGTAAAAAATGAACAAAAAGTACCCTTTGGTTCTTACACAGACACTGATGCAGAAAGGTAGAGGGATGAGAAAGAGAGAGAAATACATAGGAAGTCGTCACGAACGGCGGCCACGGTTGTTCTGGCTTCGGCAATGCCGGGTCCGTCCTAAGGCAGCTTGTCACCTTCTTCACAAAACCAGGTTGAATTAAAGTGCATTCGTTGAATGTACACTTTAATGTAATAGCACATACGAAACCTGGCTGACAAAAGAGGACATGGCGCCAATCATGGAGAGTTATAAGTGCGAAATCATGAGCAGAAATAAGAAAAGGGGTGGCGGTATCGCTATTTATATTAACGATAAATTACAGCATGAGGTTGTAGATGACTTATCAAAAATTGATTCAAAAATTGAGAGCTTGTGTGTTAAACTATCAAGTACTGTTGTTCTTGCTTTATACAGGCCACCTTCGTGTAATATATAGGAATTCATGACCTTTCTTGATGATGCACTGTCTATCCTTGGATCGCTATCTGTGCCATTCTTTATTCTTGGCGACATAAATATAAACACAATTTCGGATTTTCTTTACGCTCAAAATTTTCGCGATATTGTCAACCAGTATGCTTGCAGCAATTTATTAACATTGCCCACTAGAATAACTGCAGGCACTACCACGTACCTTGACGTATGCATAACAAATACCGACACTCGTCATATTACAGAAGGTGCAATCATCTGTGATATTAGTGACCATCATACAATCTTCTGCCTAGAGTCCTCCTCTGCTAGAGAAAATAAGAAAGACATAGAGACGTTTTGGCATCGCACCATTAATGAGGAAACACTAAGAACTTTCGGCTGCCTTGTGGAAGAAGAAACGTGTGATGACGTTTACTCTGAGTGCAACCCTAGATATGCCTATAGAATATTCCTGATGAAAGTCAGACAGTACTATAATGCAGCTTTTCCTCTTCAGGAACGTAGAGCGAAATGTTAAAAATTTAGAAAGCCTTGGATGACTAGAGACCTGTATGGAAGAATAGGGCGAAAAAATACCAAGTATCATGCCTTTATTCAGCATCGTGATCCGTGGCTGCTTATCGAGTTCAAGAAATGCAGAAACAAACTGAATGCCGATCTAAAAAAAGCAAAATGCGAATACTATCAAAAATAACTTCTACGTATACACAATGACCATAGAAAAGTGTGGGACACAGTAAAGAAACTCACGAACAGAGAGCAGGCACGATGTAATCTGAAAGAAATACTAATAGATAATAAACGTGTCACTGGGAAAGAACTTGGCGATGAAATGAATAGACATTTTATTAGCATGGGTGCGTACACTGGGAGGACTTCCAACATAGATGACTGTATTGACACAGGAAACCAAATTGGGTCGATTATGATTACACCAATGACACCATTTGAAATTGATAAAATAATCAGAAACCTAAAAAAGGACGTCGCCGCTGGAATATGTGAAATAAAAACCCTACCTATTAAGTACACTGTGACCATAGTCCAGTTTTACCCCTATTGAAAATTCCATCAAGCTACGTAATTTGGGACACTGACTGCCAGTCAGCAGCCTTGGTGGAACGTGATGGACCATCAGACGTCATCTGATGGTCCATCAGATGACGTCTGACTGCCACTGCCAAGGGATTTTCATCAACAAGGGCAGCATTTATATAAGAGTAAAGCTATACGCACTCATAAATATAGCCAAATGCCTCAATAAAACAAAATGTTCGAGAAAAAAAAAAGCAGCACCACCGCGCATTGAACCCTCAACCACATGCGTACAAATCGGACACCTTAACCGCTATGCTACGCCACCGTTAGAGAAACTGGACTTGACTATTCGTTTTATACGAAAAGCTTTGGCTGCAAATGCAGTTAAGCCGTCAGCATGTTATGCAAAGCACTCATACATCACTCGCCGTACTTCAGTTCTACTCACCTGCCATGTAGAGTACTTTCGCGCCGTAGAGCGATCCTTTTGTTCGCGCATCACCGGCCCAGTAGACCTGGTACACCCTGTCGTCTTCAACTACACCGCTAAAGTCCCTTACATCGTCGGAACTCACAATAGGCTGGGTCTTGTCGAGTAGAAATTCTACTAAAACATAAGACATTGTAGAGCCCGGGCAGGATCGACAGGTTGGAGCAAGCGGGCAACCAAAACAAGTCGAGAGCGATCGTTCATGAAAGCTCGGCGAAGCCTCTATGGGCGAAGCGAAGTGCGAAGTGTCGTGTTCGGCGCTTCGGCGGGCTTGTGATCAAGGTTGTCGGTCGGTTGCGTGTCATATCTCTAACGTCAGCGGTTTTATGGGCTCACGTCCCAAAATCGTTTTCTCGTGCATAGATTACTTTTCGTATTCATAGATTTGACGAAATAGTGGTGTCCGAACGAACTTTACGTCCTTTGACCGTACGTCTGTCTGCACGTCAAAGCTCTCTGACGTACATTCAGAGACAATCGATGTACAGTCAGAATCACCACCAAGACATCCTGATGGCATTTCGCGGCGGCCGACTGCCACCAGGAAACCATCAGAAAGCCGACAAGCGGGGTCTGACTGGAGTTTGACTGTCGGTCAGAGTAACTTGTTGGCCAATCAGACATGCTTGACGTACAGTCAGGCATAGTCAGCGGTCCACTAGAAAACATTGACTGCCAAACAGGGTTACATTGATGGATTTTTCCTTCGGGGTAGCATACAGTAAATAAGATGCTTCAGTCTGGTGATTTCCCTGACGAGCTAAAAATAGCCAGGGTTACTCCAGTGTATAAAGGATGGGGTGAGACAAACATTAATTACTACAGACCTATCTCAGTTCTTCCAGTTTTTTCTAAAATATTTGTGCGTGTGATTGCTGATAGATTAACATGGTTTTTTGAAAAGATTAATACAATAACGCAGTCCCAATACGGCTTTCAAAAGCAAAAATCGGCGGAGCTAGCGCTTCTTAACATAAAGGATAAAATAGTTGAAAATATTGAGAACAATTATTATTTACTTTTGGTCTCTTCTTAGATTTAAGTAAAGCTTTTGATACTGTGCAGCAAAATATTTTACTTAGGAAGCTTGAAATTTACGGTGTGCGCAGGGTAGCTCTAAAATTAATTGAAACGTATCTTGCAGATCGTTACCAATATGTAGTAATAAACGGCGAATCGTCAAATAGACTTCAAATACAGCATGGTGTTCCTCAGGGGTCAATTTTAGGTCCACTTCTTTTTCTTATATATGTTAATAATACAACGACTATATCCGGTTCCCCCGACCTTATAATGTATGCAGACGATACCAACGCATTCTTTTCTGGAGTGACGAAAAACTGCCTAGAAAATGCTGCAAATGTCTACCTATTGAAGCTATTCGATTGGTTACAAACAAATTGTTTAAAACTAATTACAAACAAAACTAAGTATATTATTTTTAAGCCAATAAATAAACTCGACTGCTGCCCCATAAGCTTAAAATTTGAAGACACTGTGCTTGAGCAAGTGTCGGAACAAAAATTTCTTGGTGTATGGTTTACCGAGGACCTTTCATAGAACACTCACGCGAATAAACTCAAAGGTGAATTATCTCGTGTTACGGGAAGTATATATAAAATACGAAACTTACTGCCCACTTGGCTAAAACAGACGTTGTACTATTCTTTGTTCTACTCTAAAATCAGTTACGGCATCTTAGTTTGGGGGACGACGATCAATTCGAACTATGTAAAACTTATCACCTTGCAGAAGAGGATTCTTCGCATGTGCGAAAATTATAAAGGAGATATTAGAAACATAAGAACCCAACCACTATTCATCAAATATAATATGCTTCAGGTAGACCAAATATACTATTTTAAGATCTTACAATGAATTCACAAACATAGAATATACTCCACACCAAAATCGAGTTTAGGTCCGTACCAACTACGAGACCCAAAGCGAAGGATGCCTTCAATAAGAACCAATTATGGCCGCACTGCTTTGTCATATCAGATAACTAAGATGCTAAACAGAACCGACATGACTATACATTATAATAAAACACTTCATGCCTTGAAGAAACAGTGCCGAAGCTTTCTCGTAGGCAGTGGTATGAGCTTCTCAGTTGTGTGATATGTAGGCTAAGCTATTATTTTTAGTATGTATTTATATTTGACTACAAACGTGGCTCTTGGCATATATTCGATCATTATTCATTGCTAAACTAAGTGGCTGCTATGAGCCCTACTTAGCCTGTGAGCTTCTTCTAAATTTCTTTTATATCAGTGATATGATGCTTCTGTGTCATACGATGTTACATTTGTTATACACCTCGAATCATGCTTGTTGTGTAACATGTTTTTGCTGGTTGTTTGATTGTGCCGTTTTATTTTATTTTACAATTCACAATGTTGAATGTTAAAATACCTGTCTCATTGTGCCTTTTTTATTTTTACTGAGTATACCTTCGCTCATTTTATTCATTGTATTGTTTACTGTTGAACTGTTGGGGGGGGCAGAAACTCTGTCAGGCTTCACGCCTTTATCTCTGCCCCCTGGGCGAAAAAAACCCGCCAAGCAAATAAAAAAAAATATTTGCTCATTTTAGGACGGTAAGATAAAATAATCGCCGATGAGCGAGTGTGGAGTCCAGTTCGAAAGGTAATTTTTATATTTAAGATGGAATGGAGATTTTATGCGTTTTGCTTCTTTGCACTTCAGATGTGCCCTGGAAGCCATCCACATTTAGTAGCCAACCGCAGCGGCAAGGAAAATAGTAGGACCATGTGCATAAAGTTCAGTTGGACGAAAGTTAGCTGGAAGCTCTAAAGATAACTATAAAAAATGTTTAAGCTGTCTTGACAAGGTTGGCACAAAAATCCAACTCTCTACAAGGTTTCCATATAGTATTAATTGCAAAACATAAAAAGAAGTTTTGTTAAAGCAAAACGTACTCGGTTGTTAGCATACAACATACGAGCTTCTATCCACAGTGGGTGAAGTGCAAGCGAGACTCAGGGTTTTACACATACTGAATGAATATCTATTCGTATTTAGTCAAACCCTGAAACACATCATTGCTGTCACCGAAGTATGAAGCCAACCAGACACATTTATAATGGGTGAATGTTCCTTTCTCTGAAGACTACATTAAGTTAGGTACCGTTATGAGTTTTGTATTGCCTTACATGATACATCTGATAGTGCACGCAAACCAACTCTACGGTTTGCGTGCACAACCTGAGGCAAACGACATCGGCGCGCCCGCCATCTCTCGGTTGCGGTGTGAACTTTCCTGGTATGATATGGTCCCGTGATTTGATTATGGCACAGACTTTTCTACCCAGCACAACACTGCCTCGTATGCATCATGGAAGTCTCCACGACATCTATCACTGTAAAATAGAACGTTCCTAACTAAATTTTGTTGCACGGCACGATCTCAATCGGCAGTAAACTACTTTCCATCATAAGTTTCAGTGATTCTCTGCAGTGAAACGCTAAACTGCTTTTTTACAAGCATCTAGCTTTAAAAGCAACATCAGTGACCTCATTTAAACGGTATCTATTTAAAAAAAACACTAAATTTGTATAACTATTTTCATTAGATCAATAAAGCATTCTTATTTTCTGCAAAATGATTTGTCGAGCTCAACCAGAAAGTAGGCTCTAAGACGTTTTCGTACTGAATTTAGAAAATATGTCCCATAAAAACAAACAGCAAAGCAGCATATGAATATATGTATCGTGTAAATGGAGCGTCATGGTTAAATTACGGTGTTTCTGGAGGATCACATAAAGGACGAAAACCGGACGCCTGCGTGTCTCTGGATGTCTTATAAATAACAGCGCACAGGAGCAATTTATATGTATGAATAGCCGACTCGTTCAATCGTCGCTCTTACGAAGTCTCTGGATATCCTCTGCGTGCCTCTCTACTGGCCTCTGGATTTGATTTTTATATCCGCGAAAACGGTATACATTTTATCGTTCCGAACTCTATCTCGCATTTTATTAGAACATTTAGCTGTGTGACATTAGTTTTGTTCATGATACCTGAATATTTCCTCCACGTGCCGCCACATAATCGTGTCTGCCTCTTTTAGGCAAAGTGTAGTTTGTGAATACATTAAAATTAAGATTATAATGATGCCTTTCCTGCATGCAGGTTGTCCAGGAGTACGAGCGGGCCGTTATATTTCGTTTGGGAAGACTCTTGCAAGGGGGATCGAAAGGACCGGGTAAGCAAGTTCAAAAAACGCGCGGTCTGCCTATTTCTGATTGTACGCCTTCTTTTTGCGATTCGTTCATCTGCCTTCTTTACGCGAACGCAGCAATGTTGTCACTGTCGGAGTGATCATGAGATGCTCGAGATTCACGTAGCCTTGTTCGGCTTAAACAAACACGTAAACAAACAAACAAAAAATATTTCTAATTGGTGCATTTTTTTGTTTTAATTTTTCCACAATAACAAAAAGTAGTTCGCGCAGTATTTAGGCTGTTGGACGGAATTCAGGTGGAGTTAACCCGCTCTCGGCCCCGGCCCAGAGCATAGCCAGCTACGCTACATTTCTTGAGTTTTATTGTTTGGAGACCTGTATAATGTTTGTGGCAAAATTGTTTCTCCGTGCCAGGGTAGTCCTTTCTTTGACATTTTTTTATGTGTAAGAAACAATCTATATAGATAGATTGGTTAATATTTTAAAACGTATCACGAGATTGTCTCTTGCGCTTTAATTTCAAATAACAAAACAAGATGGCTGAAAGCGTTTTCGACCGGAGGTTTTACGCGCCGTAAAGGTCATTGAGCTCGCCTATTTTGATAAGTGCCAGTCGTTTAAAATTCAGCAAGGTAATCAGATGAAGATGCTCTGAACCGACGAAGTATGCAGCAAACTGTACCAATAGAAAACAAAAAAAGCTCAAACCAAAAGCTCTGAAACAATCAGTCCCCAACGTATCGCGGCCGACTTGACTCATTATTCGGGGGGTAACTAAATGGAATCCGACAACGAGAGCGTCGACCTCTTCTTCCTCTTCTTACGAGTTGATGCTTTGTTAACGTGACGCATGCCCTGTACGTAAATAGATGGTAAGGCACCGAGGGACCTGCTATTGTTCCCCGGTGTGTACTGAATACGCCACGACTAAAAAAAAAAAAAAAAAAAAAAAAAAAACCTTTTCGGATATGTGACTTTCTCTCTGTCCCGTGCGCGTTCGTGAAGTCGATCCCATGATCGAGCACCTCACAATGTTCGGCGACGGCGCTACGCTCGCGACCAAAATTGTGCTCATGGATCTGGTGCTGGCGCGTGCGTTCAGGAAAAGATTTAGTTTCGCCGATGTAACGGAGGCAATTTTTCGGTTTCTGCGTCAGCCGTCCTTATGTTGACACTCGATTGTGCGCCGCTTGAATCCCTTCTTTTCAGAGCACGCGCTCCAGTACTATCGGAAACAATATGAGCGTGAACGCGCCTCCGCGTGTCGCCGCTACCTGAGGCGCCGCCCTGCGGCGCCGTTGTGAGGTTTTGCGCATGCGTGTAGAAATCCTGTCGCTGTTCTCGCTTTGACTGTCAACCCCCGTCTGTCGTCTGCTATGCGCGCGCTCGCGGCCGCTCGTGCTGTCGTCTCCTATGCGACTTGTGTTCGCGCTGGTGTCCGCTCGTGTTGTCGTCTGCCGCACAACATTGCGTGCTCCTGCGGACACACGCGCTTTCTACGCGAGTTGTGTTGGCCCTGGACAGCTCGTCCCTATATGCTTGTATTATCCGGTTCACCGTTTTCAGCGGTCTTCCAGCCATGCTGGATATAGCCCTCTGAGAGTAGCCTCGGAGGGACACGTCAACGATGTTGATCCGTTCGTCGACAGGAACTCTAGCCATTTTTCACTCAACTGAATGTTTTCTGGGCTCACTGTAGTTGGGGGAGGGGGGTAGTGGGGATCTCACCGTAGTTGAACACTAAGGTTTGCAGATATTTTGTCTTTATTCCATTTGTCTGTTGTCGCTGTATCTCGACCTAATGAAAGAAGCCAGCTACTTATCACGTATCAAATGCGGGCATTGCGTTATCGCACAGGAAACTCGTGAATTTTGTTAAGTCCTTTGTCTGAGTTATGACGGAAATACACGAGTCGCATAGCAGACGACAGCGCGAGCAGACGACAGCGCGAGCAGCCGCCGGCGCGCGCATAGCAGACGACAGACGGGGATTAACAGTCAAAGCGAGAACAGCGACAGGATTTCTACACGCATGCGCGAAACTTCACAACGGCGCCGCAGGGCGGCGTCTCGGGTAGCGGCGACACGCGGAGGCGCGTTCACGCTCATATTGTTTCCGAGAGTACCTCGCTGGTTCCTTTTACATAGGCGACGCTGATGCGTGCGATGACGCGGCTCTGTGTGTCACCCGCCGATCCATGGTCATGGCGAATGCAACACTGTCGACGGGCGACGCGCTGAACACATCTCTTTGTGCAGCCGTTCCTTTGGAGGTCAGCAAGGATATTTTGACCTCCAAATCGTCTAAACATATTCCCAAAACACATGCGCCAGCACCAGAATGATGTCCAAATTTCGATCGCAAACGTAGTGCCGTCACCGAAAATTGTCAGGTTCTCGATCACCGGATCGACTTCGCGAACACAGACGTGATAGACACGGAGCCACATATCAGAAAACGTCTGTTCTTGGAGTCGTGGCATATTCAGCACAGACCGGGTGCCTCGGTGCCTTATCATTTATATACGTCCAGGGACTGCTTCACGTTAACAAAATATCAACTCTGTAGAAGAGGAAGGAGAGGTCGAACCTCTCGCTGTCCCATTCCATTTAGTCACACCCTGAAGGAGTAAAGACCATCCCGAAATGTTAGTAACTGATTGTTTCTGAGCTTTTGGTTTGAGGCTTATTTGTTTCGTAGTGTTTCCCCAAACCACACAGATTTCTGTTGAATATGTTTACCTTTAGGCTGTCACTGCGCGTGTGCTTGTTTTTGTAACGGTACTGGCGTAAGGCTACTGTCCCACGTCAACCATTTTGCTTTTTCTGGCTTAATAAATTTGTTCGAAAAATAAAAAATAACACATAATAGAAACAAGTGCTCTCTATAAATGAATAAGTGTTAAAAAAGACTATACTCCAACACGCAGGCAAGTTGTACGCTTCACAGTGTATGCCGAAAGAGTATTGTAGTTGTACACGACCAACTTTACCTAAAATTCTTTTTAAAACTCATACAAAGCAAAGCTGACATATTCAGTACAATTTTAATTAAAAAAAAAAATTCGGAGTCAGCATTCATCAGCTTCAAAAAGGCAGATATTTATAGATTATATTATTTCCAGACGGCTGAGGATTTTGGTGTTGTTTCTATCCATTTTATTAAACGCAAAATGATGACGGCAGTAGACGTCTACAGTCGTGGTTTGCGATTGCCTTAGACAGCGGCAGTCGGTCCTATGTTACAGTGATTTCTCGTTGATATGGACGCCCCGGTTCCTTCATAAATGGTAAATAAGGCAGGTGTCACTTAATAACGAGACCAAGGTGCTTGTATTCACCCAGTTCGTCCCCGGAAACGTCGTCTATAGTGAGTTATACTCATAATAACAGAGTCCATATTAACGACGTCTGACCGTACTTGTTATCTGTCTGTGTCCACATGCTTACGCCGTTAGTTTATCTTTTTGATGTACAGAGTTTTTTTTTTCTGGCTAGATGTGTTAAACCTTCGCAACCTTCGCAACGCCACACTGCAAGCTGTCTCTATTACGTGGCACAAATCTGATGTAAAATCACTGTAGTTGCATTTACTGCAGCTCGTATATCGCTCCGCCATGTGCTTTTCCTTAGTTACATACAATTAAAATTTCCCGGTGTGTCTGTTCAAACCCTCCTTTCGATAACAGTTTCGTTCTCGTCTGTCTTCTGTCTAACCTTGAGCGTACGGAACAAAATACCGTTTACTTTGTGGGTGATAAACGAGTTCTTAAATGTGAGGCGCTCTTGTTCAGCACATTCACTAATGCCTTCCGACAGGAGTCCTGCGTCCACACCGAATGTTTGCACAAATGATTCTTTCTGGGGTGTATATGTGTATTACCTTACGTCTCGTTTTTTATATGTTGTCCGGATTGTCTTTTCTTCCTTTTTTTTCAGGTATCTTTTTCATTCTCCCCTGCATTGAAAATTACACCAAGGTTGATCTCAGGACGCTAACCTTTGATGTTCCACCCCAAGAGGTAAGCCAGACGAAGAATTGCAATTTTACACCTCTTCAATGTCGGAGAACGTTGAATGCATCGCAGTCGTTATTGGCAAATTTCTTCGTAGACTTGAAAAAACTGCAGGTTTGACTTGCTGAACTCGCAACTATTTAACACGAAAGGTGACGTGTTGTGCAGCAATATTTTTTGTGCTCAAGCAATAGATGAAACGGCGCTCAAAACAACGAATACGCGAGAGAAGTACGCAGGATGAGCGCTGATCTGACAACTCAATATTTCGTGACAAACACCCAATGATGTGAACCATCAAATCATCATCGTGTCAACAGGTGTTCAAGTAGTCTATTTCTTATTTTGTGTAAGGAAACAGAAGTCTGACTTACGCTGGTAATCCAATTAGTGCACAGGTGCAAGCTAGCTGGACAAAACTAACTATAATAATACATGGAGAATGCGAACAAGGGCGTTACCTCAGTTGGTAGAACGCTCCTCTAAAATCGGAAAGCTCCCAAGTGCTGTACAAAGACCAGGTGGATATTTTGAGTCCAGCACCAGTAACCTAGCTGTGTAAGGAGTATTGTGTTTGTTCTTTTCAACCCCTTTTTCCCCTTCTGCAAAGATTATTATCTTTGGCTTTCACAGTTCTTTTTGCCTTGCTTAATTATTTTATAGGCCTCTACTGATTCCCCGGCCGTTTTATGAACTCCTATTTCAATGATCGGGAAGTTGTCTAAAAGAAGATGACGCAGACTAGTGCCGCTGTACAGGGTAGACGACCATCGGCTGTTTAACGAAGCGACCAATCTTGCTACCTTCCTCTATCATTAATGCACCGCTATCGAAATGAGTGGAATGACTTCTGCGAAAGCATTTAGAAGTTCCGATGTTCTTGTTTAGATCACAGCACGCCATGAAATGGTGAAAAAGAATGATAATAGAATCAGTATGTTGCACCCGCAAGATACTCATTATCTCATTCTTTTTAGAGCGCACCTCTTATGCGCCCATTTCCAGGCTGAGCTGCGTCGGCGTCGGCGTAACCACGTTAAATCTAGCGGGAAAACGGACGTCATGTTTCCTCAACACCAATTAAACTCCCCGCTAAATTAAGGAGAAAATTTTAGTTTCTACGCTAGGTTTAGCAGGGCAAATTCAGTTTCTCCGCGGAGTCACCGGACGTCCATTTTCCCGTTAAATCTCGCGGGGAAACTGAATTTGTGCATAGATGAGGTGACAGGAGGTCCATATGACGTCATTTTCCCCGCTAAATTTAGCGAAAAACTTAATTGGAGGAGGAGGGAAAAGAATGTGATGGAGGAGGAGGAGGAGTAGGAGACGAGGAGGGGAGGAGAAGAGGCTACGGAGAAGGAGAGGTATACCCTCCCCTTAATACCCTCCCTTCCTCGTCCGCCTCAAGAGCTGCGCTCTAATTTCGCATCACTGATATTTGTAAACGTCTATCTGTTTATATCTCTGAAGTTACTGTTTTTTTCACTCGACAGACACTACTCTTTGGCGGCAATTTTCACACGTCGTAAACGTTAAATGTGAATACGCCACGTGGGAACAGCTAAGTTAACTAGAAGTGCTTGATTATAAAGCAATTAAATGCAAAGGCGCAATCGAGCTGGACAAGTATGACGAAAATAATCCCCGGAGAAGGAGAACAAGAGGGACAAAGGATAAACACAAATCCCCAAACACAGCTGGGTGACTGGTGCGCAACCGAAAGCGGTCGCGCACTAGTCATGGAAATTTCTCGTCATGTGCGCGCCCAGCGCAGACAGCGGCGACGCCCCTGTCTCGGGGACTGGAGTGCGCCGGAGGAGCGAGGAAGCTCGCTCTCAGAATAGACTGTCCGTTGCTATACACCAACACGTATCTGTCTGCTCCTTTGCTTAGATTAAAATACCCTCACAGCCTGGTGGAGGTGCGTAACCAAAGCTCTTGCCTTCATTCACTAATTCACTCCTTCCCTGAGCTGCGTTGGCTTCTCTGCCTAATCAACGTGGAACTCCGAAATAAGAAAATCGCACGACCGTCCATGACGCCTACCACAGTATCCGCGCACATATTGCTGGTACCAGCCCGTATCACTTCGGTACCGGTCACGCCTCCTATTCCTACCACCTTGTTTCCTGCTGGCGACTTACCGCCTGTCGTACTGCCGCCTACCACGACCGCAATGACAGCGGCTGACCCTGCTTTGCCCCTGATTTGTTTAGCATCACGTCACCGAGATCGTCGAGTTCTTTTCCGGCCTCGTCGACGAAACGATTGAAGAGTGGGCCAATTTCTACACTCGAGTGAGCCTACATAATCATTGGGATAATCCCACAAAGTTAGCCAACGTCATCATTTATTTACCATTTCATCCACTACACTACATGGGTTTTTTACATTTAACCTCATAAAGTTTGGCCTCTACAATACTTGAGCAACCTTTAAGAGAATGATACAGTGCTACGGAAAATGGAGTGGAAAACATGCTTGTGTTAACTCGACGAGATCATTGTATTTTCGAGGACATTTTCACAACACTTAACCCGACTGCCTAAATTCTTTCTTCCCTTTTTAATGAAGGTCTCCAAATGAATACGATATGTCCCGCATCGCTGCAAGAAACTTCAAGGTACTCGGTCCCATTACCACTCAAGTTGGCGCCGCTGCGGATCCAAACAAGATTTTTACAATCTTGGACTTCGCATGTCCCACGAATGTAAAAGACATTCGCAGCTTCCTCGGCATAGCATCTAATTTTTGACGCTTTATCAAATTGTTTGCAGCAATACCGCCCCTCTTCATCACTTACTTTGTGGCGATGTACACTACGTATGGACCACTTTGTGCATGAACGCCTTTGCTTCCCTTCGTCTCACCCTTGCCTCACTTCCAGTCTTCTGCCATTGCGACTCCTGCGCTCCTATAAAGATTCACTCGGATGCCAGCATATGCGGATTAGGAGCAGTACCCTTGCACCAAGATTCCAGAACCCAACAGGAAAAGGTCATTGTGTATGCCAGCTGCACCCTAACGAGCCGGAAGCAAGCTATTCGACAACCGAACGAAAATACCTTGCGGCCGTATGGGCGATCACCAAATTTCGTCCCTCTCCGTATGGCCGTCATTTCGACTTCGTCACAGATCTCCACTCGCTTTGCTGGCTCTTGCCCAGGAAAAGCATGTCCGGCCGTCTTGGACGCTGGATTCTTGTACTGCACAAGTAAGACTTCTTCGTTCGTCATAAGTCTGCAAGAATCCACTACGACGCCGACGTGCTCTCTCTCTGTCCTCTAAGTGCAAAGGACATGAGCAAGACTTCAACACACGCCGCGACAACAACAGTCGTAATTGCAACTCTCTTAATCAACGACTTTTTGTAATCCCAGCACCTAAACGCCTGGGTTAGCCCCCTTTTTGAACATCTTGAAGGCACCATTCCGTCGAGCGGTCGCCGCTTGATTAAGAAGAGTCTAGACTTTGCCATTTTAATGGCCTGCTCTACAAGCGGAAATACGCCCCCAATGAAAAGCGCTGGCTATTTGCTGTTCCACCAGACCTACGCTCAAAAAGTACGCGCTTTTATCATGATGATCCCGCTGCTGAACATCTTGGACATTTTAAAACGCACGAGAGGATTCGCCATTCACTCTAAAAAAAAGCCCGTGAGTCTGCTTTCCCGCACAACACTCGGAGAGCCAATCACCGAAACGTACGGAGGCAGCTCAGCGAATGACAATGCCGAAACATATGTTTAGACCAAAAAACGCAGTCTGAGTTGTGACATCAAGCCAAGGAAGCGTGACGTTTTGCATTCCTTAATGTCACAACTCAGAATGCGGTTTTCGGTCTAAAGATATGTTTCGGCGTTGTCATTCGCTGAGCTGCCTCCGTAAGTTGCGGTGATTGGCTCTCCGAGTGTTGTGCGTGAAGGTAGACGCACAAACATTTTTTAGGGTGTTGTTACTTTTGGCCAAAAATGTACCGCACCGTCTGCCATTACATTGAATCGTGTGTCCCGTGTCAGCATCACAAGCGCTACTCATCCTGCCCCACCGTTCTCCGTCGGCCCATCTCTCTCTCAACACCGCCATTTGAATTTGAAGGCATTGATCTTTTTGGTCTCCTTACGCGGCCTATTGCCGGCCATCGCTGAATTCTCGTCGCTATTGACCACGCCACTCGATACTTGGAAACTTCGTCGCTACCAGAAGCCACTGCTGAAGCCATCGCAGTCTTCAATTTACATAGCATCGTATACTCCGCCATGGTGCCCTAGGAAGCTCTCATTCCCTACCAAAAAATCCGGTATAACTTTGCCTATCCGGAATATGGAACCGGAAATTTGTTACTGGAAACCCGAAATCCAGATTGCGGACAAAGGAATAATTTCTGAAAACCTAAAATCCAGATAGAGTCCAGATAGAGTCCAGATAGAATCCAGATAGATTTCCGGTTCCATAATCCGGATAGCGAAAAGTTATACCGGATTTTTCGGTAGGGTTAGCGATCACAGAAGAACATTCACGGCACTGACACTTGAAGCTTTGTTGCGCGCTTGCAATGTCGACCAACGAATCACCTCTCCTTACCATAACGAAACAAACGGGCTTACGGAGAGATTTAACCACGCGCTCGCGAGAATGATTTCCATGTATGCCTCTGACAGCCATTCTAATTATAACACTATCATTCCATTCGTGACCTTTGCTTATAATGCGTCACTACAATCCACCAATCCAGACGCCCTCCCCATTCTATTTAGTTAACCACTTTGAACCGTTCACCGCGCTTAATGCTGTTCTGCCTTACGCAAGTGAAATTTCGCAGAATGGCTCCTCTTCCCAAGCCGCCTATCGTGCAGACGCCTGCCGTCAACTTATCCGAGCACGTACATCGCACCACCGAGAACAATCCGAACGCCGCTGCAACAGTAGACACGAATGGGGGCACTACAACCTGAAGGACTTTGTTTTGGTACTTTTCCCGACTTGGAAAGTCAGCTGCTATAAAATTTCCTCCATAAATACCAAGGCCCATTGCGGATCATTTACGAGAAATCTCCCTTTCAATTAGCTTGTCTATCCTGCGCCACCCAAAACCGACCGTCAGTTTCATAATCGACTCATGATAATAATAATAACTTATTTCCATTAAGACAAAGAAATGGTAAAAAAAAAAGGAAGAAGCCTGAACAAGAAGCTTGACCGGCCCTCAGCCCCATCGGCAGCCATTGAACAAACACTTTACGACTGGCCAAATCGACCAATTTTGCTTCGTTCATGAGAACATTCTTAAGATATTAACCGCCTGAAACGTTTCCCCTCCCCGGTACAAGCTTTCTCTTACGATGATCATACGTAATATGCCAGGGTGGTCTTCTTTCGGAGGAGGCACACGTGACAAGCATAGTTGCGCGGCCAGCGCAGTCAGCGGCGGAGCCAGTGTCTCGGAACTCGCGCGCGCCGGTGGAACGAGGAAGCTATTTCACATAATAGACTGGCATGGACACCCACACGTCTTTGTCTGCTCTTTGCTTAGGCTTAAAGCACCCTCACTGTACTCATAATTGTATTCATGAAATAAGGCAATACAAAAGAGCAGGTCTGCCTAAGGCAACGTAAGGCTTGTGAAGCGTAACTTGGCAGTGGACGCAAATTCTTCACAATAGTAACAATACAAAATCCAATCGACAGGTGTCACTTACATTTTTAAATGTTTGTCCCGATCATTGTACAATTTTTTCGAGCTTATCATTAGGTGACAATTAGACATCGAGAGAAATTAGTAATCTGGCACGGCGTTACAAATTTTTAAAACATAAAAGGTTCTCCCGATTTTTCCGGCAGCGAGTGTATATACCTGAACGTTCAAAACTCACTTTGCACCTCGGTGTACAGGGGCAGTTCTCTCAGTTTTAAAATCACTACACCAAAAGTAAAACTCTTCTACCTGTTCAAAAAAAGAGAATAAAAACTAAACCTAGACCCAACAGTCTACTCTAAGCACACACGTTTTCTTTTTAACACTGCAGTAGGCTGTAAGATTCCCTCTTCCACATTCCATTTACGATAATGTCGATTGTTGCATGCCATTAAAGGGAGCGATATAGGAAGTGTTATACCATATCTTAGTACACTGTAAGCCAAATAACGCATTAACGTTTCCTGGTGGTCATTGGAAGGAAGACTCTGATATTAAAGATCTTGCATAATAGACTTCTCAACCAGTTAGAAACAAATGACAAGTGTGAATACCAAGATAAATAGGAAATTATACCAGGGTATTTAATGGAATGAACATACTGAACAGGAATTGATCTGTACGCGCCACAGCTAGAGCAATGCAGAAATTACCGCCGAAAAACTTCGAGGCTTTTCTAGAGCCTACGAATGCAACGCTCTTAGTCTTGGGGGAATTCACACCCTTGCTATTCGGTTAAACGAGTACATAACCTCGACTGCATTTGTTTGTAACATTTGAATGGCAACTGCATTGTAAATGGGCTTAGGAGATTAAAATGTTTGGAAGTATAAAAGTATGATCGAAGCAGAGTAGGCACACGTGGAGACGTAATATACACACCAGAAAAACGGCTTAAATAATCGTTCAGACCAGAGGACGTTTTAAACAAAAACAAAAAGTTCGGCTTCTTCCGACGCCCGTGCAGGCGTAGGAAGTCAGCAGGCTCTAATAATAATAATAATAATAATAATAATAATAATAATAATAATAATAATAATAATAATAATAATAATAATAATAATAATAATAATAATAATAATAATAATAATAATAATAATAATAATAATAATAATAATAATAATAATAATAATATTTATTCCACTTTCATGTTTGTTTTCGATATTTTCGGGCCCGTCAAAGCCAAAGTAGGCTTGTGGGACAAGGCCCGGAAGAGGTAGTGAGCGATTATATACATCTAGTTAACAAACACCGATAAACAGTCATAGTTGTCCGGGGTGGGGGAGGGGAGGCGGTGGGTAGTCAGTCACTTTGTACATGGCACGGATAGAGATAGTAAATCACAGTAGACCGGTAGAAACATTATAGACATATGTACAGGTACATGTAGAGACACAGACAAAGCACACATATAGCTATATACATGCCACTGACAGAGATAGTCAATCACAGTGAACCGGAAGAAACAATATAAAAACATATACAGGCAAAATAAAAAGGTTCCGACAAAGTTGTAAAAAAAAAAAGAGAAAAAGGTAAGGAAACATTAAGGAGTACTTAAGGTAGAGTCCAATCAATTAGGAATTTTTTTAGTTGCTTTTTTGAGGTAAGCGTAAATATGTCATCAGGAAGCGAATTAAATATTTTCGGGACATAAATATCACGAGTAGCTTGTCCGTAGCGAGTATAAGAACGAGGTACAACATAGCGAGGACTATCTCTTAGAACTCGGGAGGACATGTAAGTTTTTTTGAAATCATCCATCCAAAAGTGGCGCAAAATTACTGAATTCACAAACAACTTTTGGAAGGAAGGTAAACCAAGATACTCAAAGATACTTCCGCATTCTGTCAAATCACAGTCATACGCCACGCTCTTCAGTAAGTTCCGCAGAATATTATCGATGCGTATTTGCCATCTTATGGAGCAATTGGAAAGAATGGTGATTCCATATCTTAAAACGCCGTAAGCAAGACTGCTGGCAATAGCTCTGCGCACACCGATCGGAGCAAGATGTCTAACGGTGTACAAAAGCCAGGCAGTACTTCTGAGTTTGCTACAAATATAGGACAGGTGGGTGTTCCAAGCAAGGTCGCTGTCAAAATAAACTCCCAGGTATTTAACTGAATTGACATAAGAAACTGCCGTACAGGAACAAGAAGCACAATCGGAGGTATGAATGAAGAGAGGAATGTTTGTCACAGTTTGTTTTAAGGGATTCCTAAAGCATACTAAACTAGTTTTTGAGGCGTTGACTTTGATGCGGTTGTCACGAAACCAGTTCATAGCAGTGAAAACAGCTTGTTGTAGTATTTGTACGGCTGATGTGTAGTTGGTGTGACACGCGATTAAAACTGTATCATCCGCATATTGAAATATATGACAATTTAAGATGTTTTCTGCAAGATCATTCACATAAATATTAAACAATAAGGGGGAGATTATAGATCCTTGTGGAACGCCACACGTCAGAGACACCTGTGTGCTCATGCTTAGACCTCCCAGAGCAACAACCTGGGAACGATTAGAGAGACAATTTGTAAGAAGTGTGTGAAAGTTGCCACGAAATCCCAGCTTGTGTAATTTCTGAAGCAATATACTGTGGTCGACGGAGTCAAAAGCTTTAGAAATATCTAAAAATAGACCGCAACTGTATAGATTATTGTCAAAAGCAGAATGGAGGAGGTCGGAAAATTCTTCTAACAGTGAAACAGTTCCAAGACCCTGTACAAAACCAAATTGTCTCGGTGAAATTACTGAGAACTTGTTGAGGAATCCTGACAGAGTTATTAGCAAATGCTTTTCCAGAAGCTGACCTATGACAGGCAATATGGAGATTGGTCGATAGTTTTCAAATTTGTCTTTTTGACCCTTTTATAAAAAGGGTTTAACAAGTGCTGTTTTTAAGATTCTTGGAATTACACCGGTCGTTATGAAACCGTTTAGCATGAATAAAAGAACAGTAGTTAAAGCCGCAAAATTTTGTCGTAGAATTCTGATCGATATGCCATCAATTCCGTTTGGTTTCGTTTCTTTGAAGCTAAACACCAGAGAATGCAGGTCAACATCAGTGATGGTTGGTAAAAGTGCTGATTCACAAATTGAATTATTTAGGCTGCAAACGCCGAGAGAAGCCTCACATGATACTCGTGATGTGCTCGCAAAACAATTGTTGAATGAATTTGCTACTAGCTGGGGATCGTCTTTAAAGTACTGCAAGGGAGACTCTGGATGTGTAGCTTTTCCACGCAATTGGTTGACGATGGACCACGTCTGCTTGGGGTTATTTGCAGCTTTGTCAAACTGTCCTCTAAAGTAGCGCCATTTTGAAGCGCGTATCAGCGCACATACTTTATTTCTTTCTATGTTAAATGCGAGGTGGAGCGCGCTATTGTTCGGCGCACGCTTGGATCGTCTCCACAACAGGTCTTTATATTCGATTGCTTTAATAACATCTGGGGTCATCCAATGGCTTTCGTTTTTTCTTTTTCTAAAACTAATTGGACGCTTCGCCTCATTTCTGAAAAACTGGATTTGTTCGCAAAATTTCTTGTACACTTGGCAAGCGTCGTTTGAGTCAAGTAACGATGACCAATCAAAGATTTTATAGACAAGTCAAGTTTCCGCTGATCTATGATCCAAGCGTCAGTTGTTTTATCTTCGCCTGGAAGCTTTTGCGTATAATGACCGGACAACAAGGGTGTCCACTGACATGCTGTAAAATAATGGTCTGCCAGTTTTTGAATGATTACGCAGGATTGAATATTAAAACTTGGACCACGGAGGTTAATGTGATCAAGGCACGATGCAACTAGTGATCTATTTAAAAACTCTTCCCTTGTTGGAGCCTGAATACTGCATTCAATACCATGAGAATAAAAAAGTGTGAGGTAATCAATTACGACTGGTTTGGATGAGGCTAATATATCTATGTTAAAATCTCCCACCACACACACCTGTTGTTCTAACGTCCATGATGATACGACGTTTTCAAGTTCTAGAATAAAATTGGAAGCACTGTTGGACGGAGGGGGATAGACTGCCATTAGCAAGAACGAGGCATGTTTCGTGATTATCCGTAAAGCGACACATTCAGCGTAAACGAAGGAAATGTCCAATCGGGATGCGGTGTATACGTCTCTAACAAAAACTGCAATTCCGACACCGCGTCTGTCGGGGCGTGTATAGCAGAAAGAACGATATCCAGGCAAAACAAAGAGCTCCAGCGACTCTGAGTGAGTATTAATTTCTGTTAAAACGAAAGCGTCAATTATGTCGTTTAAGTTTAGAGCAATCGTCAAAAACTCATCCCAGTATTTTCTTATACTACGAATGTTCAAGTTGAGCAGTCCAAATGAATTTCCAGAGGTATGGCTAAAACAAACTTTGAATGCGCCTACATCGGGAAAGGTGAAAAAACTGGAACCCATGAGCTCACTTGATCTTGTCTAAATCGCTCTTTCTCGCAATATGAATAACTGTTGTTCCCTCAGACTTTTTGACGAGGATTCTACCTTCCTTAGTCCAGACAAATTTAAAATTCATTTCGCGTGCCTTCCCCTTCGCTAGCCAGAAAAGTTCCCGCTTTGCTTGTGTTATGTTTTCATTGAAGAACATTTTTGGCAGTGCGTCGTTCTCAAGAAGGGCGCGCAGTTGTTTTCTAGCTGCGAACCATCGCTCCATGATGGCGACATGGTTGAACTTAACCAGGATTTTTGGGATTGTGTTCTATTTTGCAGGAAGGCGGTGAATCGACTCAATGTCTGAATGTCGAAATCCCTGCAGGTCGAGTTTCGCCGCGATTTCCGACAGTCGACCTGTCAGATCCTCGTTCTCAACAACTGGAAGGCCGCAAACCTCCATATTGGCTCTGCGACACTGCTGCTCGGATTCGCTTACTTCAGCGCGTAATATCTCAAGCTGTGATGCTTGGGCAGTGACTGTATCTCGCAGAACAGACACTTCAGATTCGCCCATATTCGCGTGTAGGCTTGCGAGTTGTGATGCTTGGGCAGCAACTGTAGCTTTCAAAGCTGCCACTTCAGATTCACAAGCCCTTAGAGCAGTTTCGCCAGACTTCAAGCCCTCCATCACGGTGTCATATTGCTTGGAGACAAATGACACTGTGTCTTGCAGTTCGCTCATAATCTTATTTAGGTTTGCTACTTCTGCTGCTAGGGGCAGTAGGTCTTTGGTCTGGTTTATCAGAGCTTCGACTTTCGAGCTAATGTCAGGTAGATCTTTAAGCTGAGCCTGAATGGCAGACAGCTGTGATGAAACGCTTGCGTCAAACTGCGTATTGTCTGCTTGACTACTAAGATTGCCTCGCCTACTGCCAGGCCTGCAGCTCTTGCACTTCCATACATCTCGTTTTGTATCACTCATCGCATTAAATGTATTCGGTGCAATGCCCGAGCAGCCCTGGCCTAAATGATAGCTGCAGTAACATTCAGAACATGTCATGAATCTACCGTCAGCAGGCGTTGGCTTGCGACATGAGATGCACTCGTTGGAATCACCCATTGCAACGCGAGTTAGTGTGGGTGACGCTGGAGCAGAGTTACTTGAGATGAGCGGGAACTCGGAAGTTGTCGGTGGTGATAACGAAGGTCGTGAACAAAACACTGCCGAAAACCACCAGCGTAATGGTAGGAGGCGTGTCACTGACCAGAAGAGATCAGCAATGAGCAGCGTTGTGGCGAAAAGCAGCAAGATGGCCTGTCACTAAGTGAAACCGCAAAATACTTGCAAAAAGCCGTCGTTTGGTTGTATAGTGACGAGCTTCAGGGTCTCAGCTGGAGGCAGCAGGATGCGAAGAGGACATGATCGGTACTAAGCTGAGGAAATAGCACACCGTGAGATCTGTGCGCGTAATGAGACGCACGATTCCCACCGTGAAAACAGTATGTCCAGAAATCATGAAGTCTGACGATGAAGGCGAATGACGAGAGCCCTCACTTGGCGCAATAGCTGAGTCGGCGTGTAGCGGTGACACTCCGATGCCAGGCACACAAGTGGCGTCAATGGTACTGGGGCAAGCTGGCCGTAGGGAACATGGCGGCGATCGTGCAGGCGGGTCAGTGATCACCTCAGACGATATGCCCGGCTTACTTGGATGGAAGGATGTCAATCGACAGCCCCATAGAGACTCTCCTTCTTGTCCAGATGGTAGGACCTCGCAGAGGATTTAAGCCGGCGAAATCATCAAAATAAAGGCTAATATTTGCCAGCGGCCGAAAGGAACGGCGGAGCCCGACGACTTCTTTTTCTTTTTTCCCTATATATATGTATATATGTATATATATATAATAATAATAATAATAATAATAATAATAATAATAATAATAATAATAATAATAATAATATTTTCACACACATTGGAATTCAAGTATTCAAGCATATCAAAGCCTGCAGAGGGCTTGTATGATGACACACATAGAAAATTCAAAAGACCGTTATCTTGATTCCAAAATGTAAGAGAGAAAGTCGAACTATAAAACACAAAAAGCACGAATGCAGAAAAAAGCACAAAGAAAAAAAGCACGAAAGAAAAAAAACATGAAGGAAAAAAAAAAACACAAAAAGCGTTAAGCGAAATGGAAGTAAGAGGGAAAAAAAATAAAAAAGGCGAAACTAAGTTAAAATGAACTGAACTAATCACAGTTCAAGCTTGAAGCATGCAGACACATCAAAAAGATGCTAGATGAAATCATAGTTGGTGCACTGTAGTATTTTCTTCAGTTGTTTCAGTGATGTAATGGCAATGTAATTGTTAGGGAGGGCGTTGAACAAACACGGAACGTGGTAATCCCGAGTGCATCTACAGTACCTGGTCTAACATGTAATGATAATAGTAGTAGTAATAATAATAATAATAATAATAATAATAATAATTTATTGCACGAACTCAGAACCAGGTACAGACACGGTTTCATGAAAACCATCTAGGGCTTGTATGATGAACACCACATTGATGAGCATGCTGCTCGTGAAGGGAAACAGAAAATCACAACTGCTAACGAAATTTGTTTCCGGAGTCACTTTAATAAAAAAAAGGTAATTTTATATAATTAGTCACACTATGTGACACCACGTTACAATCAAACTCAAAGCAGGGATATATAGAATATCAGATTTTTTTCTTTTCTCGGTCGGTCTTGAAATGGGCCTTAGCAAACACACTAGAGTGCTTTCTTTAATTTTTGCACGAACTCTATGTTATGTAAGTCTTCGTGAAGCTCATTAAACTTCTTTGCTACATAAAAAGATCTTACACTTTCTCCATAATGCGTTCGTCTTCTGGGCACTTCAAACCGTCGGTTGTTCCTGAAAGACCTAGAAACATACATGGGATTCTTAAATGAACTGTCCCAGTAGTGCCTGGCGATAATGGCGTGCTTGAACAGGGTCTCAAAATGATGCAACTGAAACGATTTCAACAAGTTGTCCTCTGCAAGAAATTCCGAGTTGTAAGCTACGCTTCTAAGCATATCTTTCAAGATACCATAAATTCTAGTATGCCATCGCCTGGGACAGTTTCCCGGTAAAGTAATGCCATACCTTAAAATACTGTATTCCAGTGTCTGCATGATAAGTACCCTAATTGACATCGGGGAAAGCACCTTAAAAGAGCACAATAGACAGTATACTCTTCTCATTCTTCTGCAGATATTTGTCATCTGCGTGCCAGGATAAATCAGAATCGAGCACAATTCTCGTGTATTTAACATCGCGAACATATTCAACAGGAACACATGTACAGTCAGCACGGAATGAAACCCGAACGCCGGAACGCGTGGCCATCGACGCAGGCTGCTCCACCTGGAGGACTCCTGAGAACTAATGAATATGCGCCGGGGTGCGAGGGTCCGGGTCCTGCTAAGATATGCTCGACCCTCGCGTGGCGCGTCTGGGACCCGGTCGGCACCTGCGGCTTGTGGTCGGCGCGACAAGGTCGATGCTAGGAGCAGCAGCAAGCTGCTTGCGCGCGCCAGCGGATCACGCCCACGGTGCTTTCTCCTCCTGGCGTGCGCTTACAGCGCGCCACCGGCGAAACGCCGAAGTCCCAGA